TGTGGGTGTATCTCGGCTTGAAAATCAAGAAAAAACCATCACCACTGTCGTGAGGCGGTGGTTATGTGTGTGTGTGTGTGTGTATATATATATATGTGTGTGTGTGTGTGTGTGTGTGTGTGTGTTTGGTGTGGGATTGTTCATGTAGGGTCAGTGCATGGATTTTTGGCAAAATCACCACCACCACCGCCGTGAGGTGGTGGCTGCCGTCGTGGATCGTTGTCGACCACCACTGCCCGATGTGGCAGTGGGTGGTGTCCGACCTAGTAAACCCTAATTAACCTAAAAACCTAATTTAGAACCTTTTTGGCACTTAATTGGGTTGGAAGCCCTAATTAGGGTTTAGAAAACCCTAATATCATGAAACCCTAATTTTGGAATTGATCGAGACTCGCATTGAAACTATTTACTAGATTTAAAATATTAATTAATAACCCTTTGCAATTAACTTAATGCAATATTAGAATTAAAGGATTAAGTCCTTAAGGGGTTAAGTAAGAACATTTAACCCTAATCGTTATTTTATGTGAAAACCCTAATTATGTTGGGCTTTGAGTTGGTCCTTTTCTTTTGGGCTTAGGTGTTTGGGTTCTTAATGGGCCATCCAAGAAAAAGTATATGGACTAGAATATTTGGATAAGCTTTAGGGTAAAGCCCATGTAAGGGGTTTGGGCCAATTTGGAAAATTAGGCCATAATTGGGCCTTGGTTGATTATTTGACTTTTGGGCCTTCAGAGTATAAGTTTGGGCCTTGGTCTTGGACTAAGCTAGATTAGGAGTAAAATGATATTTTTACCCCAAGTGGGGATTTATTGTTATGCATTGAAACCCAAATGGTTAATTAGGTTTTGTTTTGATGTTGACAGTTCTGGGATCTGTCAGCCAGCAGTCAAAGATTTATTCGCGGGACTTCAGCAGTGCGAGGTGAGTTTTCCTCATGTATAAACGGGTCAAAGGCACCAATGTCTGTCCGTATATATATATATATATATATATATATATATATATATATATATATATATATATATATATATATATATATATATATATATATATATATGTTCCGGATTAAGGTCCAATGTCGGCCGGTGCCCGACGAATGTTTATATGTGTTCCGCACTGTGGTCCGATGTCAGGTGGTGCCCGATGTAGGTTTATATGTTTTTCGGATTTTGGTCCGATGACGGGCAACGACTGATGAGTGTTTGTAGGCTTGATGTCTTTGTGATTCTTGCATGTGTCTGTATTTCTATGTTTATGGATTTCGATCCGATGTCGGGCAATGCCCCGAGGAATGTTTGTATGTTTTCGGATTTCGGTCCGATATCGGGAAATTCCTGAGGAATGTTTATATGCATTCCGGATTATGGTCCGATGTCGAGCGGGGCCCCAGGAATGTTTATATGCTTATGTTATGTGATTATTTAATGTGTATTTGTTGATATGTTTGTATGTATACCAAGCTTTGCCCGATGTCGGGCGAGGACCAACGTCGGACTATGTCCAATGTCGGGCGGGGCCGGATGTTGGACACTGTCCGATGTCGGGTGGGCACCGAAGAAGGGGTCGGGCCCATGATATGTTTATATGTGATTATGTGTATGATATGTGGTAGTTTGGGGAGACTCACTAAGTTTCGGTTTTACAGTTTTCAATTTTGATTTCAGCTATTTATGGTAGCAAATGAAAGGGCTCGGGATGATTGCATTGCACACACCATGATGGTTTTAGTCTGGGATGTTTTTTGATATATTAATATATGTTTTGAAATGATGTCTTGAGATACTATTACTTATATTTTGATGATATGATTTTGATAACTATGGTTTTATTTAATATTAAAAAAATGAAATTTTTGGTCTTGAATTTTGGAATGGTACATAACGGAATAATGTCTTCATGTGTTGAGGTGCTGGAAAATGGAAAAAAAAAATGGGATTTAATCATTAATTTTCCTAAAAATTTTGGACTTTTTTTAGATTTCTGTAACTAAAATAGTTTTAGTTATTAGGAATTGTAGCGCTAGAGTATTAGACCTTAGACAAAATTGTAATTATGGTCCTTATGGTATGTCAAAAATTGTTATTTGGTCTAAAAAAGTTTGGATTAACACCAGATATCCAAACATATCCAAACTTTTCATTTTGTTGTGAGTTTGGTCTAATTTGTTTTGAACTTTTTCATAATGACGATTTTGTCTTTACTTTTTTATTTTTCGATTATTTATTTATTTAAATATTTTTCTGATTAAAAGAAAAAAATTATCTTTTCTATTTTGTTTTTATAATTTTTTATAAAGAAATATAAATAAATAAAATATGTAATCTCTCTCTCTCTCTCACACACACACACACATTTCGATTCTTGAAGACATTACCTCCATTTTGACCTACAACTTTGTCACCATAACACATTTTGAAACCCACCCCCATGCATCGATTCATCACGACGAGTTCATCATCAACAAATTCATCAACACTTTGAACCAACTGTTATACAAGTGAAATTGATGTTTTTAAAGTAACGAGTGGTTGAATCGATACTCTAAAGATGGAGAAGATAATTTGTAAGCTAGATTGACTGATTTTATAAACCAACACCTCAAGGATTTGGAGCTACATATATGCTTTCCTTTTTCCAACCCTTATACATGATTCAGCTAACCACAATGATCATTCGTGCAGCTTTGTCCAGATCTTAAAGTTTATAGGAGGGTTTCGAACACGCAAGTGACGCACCCTTCCAAATATTAAACATGCACCATTGCTATCTAACAAACATGATGTTTTTATAATTTAAGAGTGCGTATAATATCATCTTTAATAAATGAAGGTTTTTTTGCTACACGTCAACCTCTCATGAGTTTTGACACTTGTCATTTTGTGGTAATTTTAAAATAAATATTATACACTTGTCAATTTTTGGTTTGTTTCAATTTTTAATTAAATTCTTATACTTATATATGTAAAGTATTAAATATCATATATATATATATATATGATATTAAATTGTAATAAATATATTTCTTTTTTTCTTATTTTAAAATTATACATTAAAAAATATTTTATGTTTACACTTTAATGTTTAATCATTTTTTAAATCAACTCGTATAATATACGGATCTTACACCTAGTATATAAGTATAAGAATTTAATTAAATATTAAGTTGATAAATATGTTAATACAAATAAGTTGACAAATATTAAGGAACCAATCCATAAATCGCATTAATAATCCAAATCCATATCGCATCACCACACTTAGTTTGTGTTTGATACGCCACAGTTACCTGATAAGCTAGCTTATTTTTCGAGCTTTTTTAAATTGTCATGTTTGGCAAGCCAAAAAGTAACTGATAAACTAGCTTTTTAGAAAGCTACTTTAAGTAGCTTTTTACAAAATCTCCCTAATATACCCTTATTTAATTACAAAAAACATATTTTTCAGCTAGTTTTTACCAAACATTATTTTTTGTTAGCTAGTTTATAAGTTAGCAACTAGCTTTTCAGTTATCAACTAGTTTTTCAGCTGTCAGCTTTTCAGTTGGTCTATCAAACGTAGTCTTAATGACTTTATTCTTCACTTACACAACAAAAGTGTACTAAAAGCAAATAAACTCCCTCTTTGACGCCCTCCACCCTCTCTACTAGGGATGAAAGTGGGTCCAAACCCGGACCGAATGGACCCGGACCCGGAAAACCCGAAACCGGTTAATAGGATTTCGAAGAACCGAAAACCGGACCGGTATGTAGGAACCGGTTCCGGTTCGGGTCCAGGTACGGTACCGGGTAAAGTGGATCTAGAACCGGAAAACCCGGAAACATCAAAGTGGGTAGGTTGGAACTGAATAAAGTGGGTTTAGAATCGGAAAACCCAGAAAAAACGGAATTTTTTGGTAATTACTTACTACTTAGTGGGTTGAACTTTGAAAATTTTCATATTGATATCCCGATTTTGGGGGACTGTAACTCATTGAATATGAAACCAAAACTAACAAAATTATAATCTAAAATCATATCCAAACTCTAAAATACACTATGGAAAAAAAAACCCGCATGATAATCCGACTTTAAACGAATGAGATATGCATGTGTTAACATTTTCACAGAATACAAAATACAAAAACACATAACTAAAAAGTTGAAAATTTTCAGTTTTGATATCCCGACTTCGAAGGACTGTAAATCATTAAATATTAAACCAAAAATGACAAAATTATATTCTAAACTCATGTACAAACTCTGAACTACAAGTTGAAAAAAACCACATATCAATCCGACTTCGAATTAGACATACTTGTTTTAAAACTTTCACCGAATACAAAAAAAAACTAAAAAACAAAAAACGTCCAGCTTTGATATCTCGACTTTATATAAAACTAAAAATGACAAATTTATAGTCTAAAATCATGTACAAACTCAAAAATATATGTTGGAAAAAATCGCATGTCAATCGGAGTTGAAACGAATGAGATATACATCTTTTAAACGTTTCACAAAAACCAGTTCAGACCCTAAAAGTGCTTCCGGTTCCAAACACTGGTTCCGGTTTTTAGACCCGGTTTACCCGGACCCAAACCCGGAACCCGGATAAAGCCAATTTTTAAATCCAGATGCGGAACCGGTTTAATATATTCTGGTTCTAACGGTCACGGTCCGGTTTTCTGGTTCTAAATCTCATCCCTACTCTATACTCCCCATAGTTTTTTTTTTTTTTTTTTTCAAAATAAAAAATTCCAACATTTTAATAGCTGAACCAACAATAGCCCCCGACTCCTCTACTTCAAGAAAAGTAACTCCAACTCCAACATCAACATCAACATCAATTGTTAATTAATTTATTATTTCGTAAATTAATTTTCAGCCAAATAACCGTATTTATTTATTTGTTGATTGACTGCAGAGAACGAACATGAACACACCGACACCCCCTCCCTGTTCTTTTGTGTTCGTTCTTGGTCCAATCAAACCATTTTCGAGACCATACCTTCACTAAGTTTCCACAAAACAGATTTATTGAGTCTTTCGTTTCAATATGCATACGGATATATAAAAGTACCAAAATTTCTCAATAATTCGTGGCAAATTCTTACAAGATTTAAACTTTTTTACCTAACAACTATAACCTATCTACCAAATGATTTTTACTAGTTCAAAGAATCGTGTGTTTGGGTTTAATTTATGCATATATACTATAGATACTTAGTATCTACACTCTATGTTTTAAATTCATGTATCTAGACTGAGTTTCGAAAGAATAAATAAAGCAGCAGATGAAACAAATACAGCTCCAGCAAAACAAGCCAGATCCAATCCTGTAACCAATGGTACACTCTTGAATTTCTCCAACACTCCCACTTGAAGCAACAACATTAAAGCATACCCGATCATGGACTTTGCTTGTGTCACTGATTTCATTCCAACCCATGATGGAATTTCCTGAATTAACACACACACACACACACTAAATAAGAACACAATATGTTATATCGTATATCTATATCGCTATATGTATAGATAGCTAATGTTTTTTTAGTAAAAGTACCTTGAGATGGAAATTTCCGAAAAAGTTGGATGATGGAAGTTGCGATCCTTGGGATTGAGATCCCACGAACATGACATGCAATCCCATTCCAAATACTAGCATCGCGGTTCCAATCAAGAACATATCTAAAGATTCGATCAGTAGTTGCATGATTCGGCCATGATCGGAATGGTGCGACAGAGAATGGAAATAATGGAAATACGACTCAAAAACCAAAAATGTTCCCTGTAATTCAAATCAAAATTTCCATTTTAATTTGATTTTGCGTTAAACAAACATGATTGTAATGAAAAATTCTTAGGGTTTTGTGATTTTACCTCCAAAAAGCACAAAACTGAGCCGAGCAAGGTTCCGGCTACGGCGAACATGGTGAAAAACCGGCAATCGATAATAGCCTGAAATTTTCATGGAACTGTAAGCATTGGAAACTATAATGACAAAAAAATTCAAGTCAATTAATACCTTTTCGATGAACAATTGAACAATTGATCTCCATGACCTAGATCTCGTAACCACATATAACCTCCTAAACACCGACGTTCTCACAATCGCCACCAGAGTAGCCACGTCTACTCCTTGGCTTGTTTGCGTCGGTGCAGCGACCACGACATTCACCGCCGCCTCAGAGCAGGAAGCAGCCTTAGCTAACACCACTGGTTTTCTCTCTCCATCTCCGGGCAATCGATTGTTCTCTAAACTAAACCCAATCGCGTTGCTCATACACTTCACCTTCACCGATGTTAACGTCTTTTGCGAGGATGAAGGGGCGGAAATTACAGAAGATGGCCTCCAAGCGCGTATCAATCGAGTGGCTGCCATTGTTGTTCGTGATTCTGATTCAACGAATGAAGAACTGAAGATTTTATATGGCGATGATGGCAAACGGGAAGTGGTTGGTGGGTTTTTTCAGCACTTTTTGGGTTGAATTTTTGTGGTCAACAATTTGAAAAGTCAAAATCCGAAGAATATACGGTGAAATTTTGATGCATGATGAATGTGCTTTTTGTGATATTGTATGCGTGTGGGCGCGGAAGTGTTTAAATCTTGACACGTGGACGTATAATTGCATTGTCGACGTGGCTAAACAAGGTTACGTTGTGTTTTCCATGATAGGACAAAACAAAAACGTTCTTCGAGTGACATTTTGTTTAGTTTTTTTTGTACAGCCTATTATTTAAAATTTATTCGATAAAATCGACATATGAAAGTAATTTTTTTTTTTTTAAAATAAAATTCGACTATCTCATATGAGCTTGTGTGTCGTGTGCTTCATATTGGTGACTAAATTAATAATTCTATATGAGTGAGTGTATTTATTACGTGTAAAAGAATAACCATTTTTTCTTGGAACAGATTCAAGAGAAGATACAAATGGGCCAAGCCCAATGCCATTATAGAAATATGTGTTCACATATTCGATATTGTTTTGCGGCTCATACTCATTTCTAGTTTTTGGCAGCCAAAAGATTGAAGTTTGTTCACTTTTGATATCGGGACGTTCAATGTTTGATTCTGGGTCAAAAATATAATATGTATAACAGCTAAAGTTTTATATTTTTGAATCTAAAATATATAAAATATAACTAAAATGACTATATCTAACAAAAAAATTAAGGGGGCCACAACCCTCAAACTCTGACAATGTTTGATATTATGTATTAATCAAACCATGATTGATTTATGTACATACATTTAAGTTTTTATTCGATTTTATGTACTCCATAATGCATAGAACATGTCTGGAATTCGTAAAAAGTGTCTGCAATGACGTATTGCATGTAGATATATTGTTCATTTTAATAAGTGGCTTAAAATCTATTAGTAGCATTCCGTATAGATTTTTATAAGTGTAGATTATGTAGTGAATATGATTCTGGAATGAGGAATATGCATTCAGAATTCATGGAATTCGTAGAACATATCTGAAATGTCCGGAATACGAATAATAAGTCTTGAATGGGTGTCAAAAATTTTTGTGATATTCTTAAATTAAGAAGTAATATTGATTTGCATTAAACCAATACGTACAATTAGTTTGAAATCAAAACTGGTGTCGTCCAAGATACTTATTATCAATTTGCATGGATGTTGCTAAAAAAATGAGTTTTTTACAGATGAAGAAATTATATACAATCTACAAGAGCTTTCATAATTGGTCCTGATAAAAGTGATGTTTAATTAAAATATTTTTTTATAAATATTAGATGCCATACTTTAAAATTAATTTTTGCTTGGATTGTTTTTGCAGATAAAAAGCCAGATGTGGAAAAAAAAAAAAAAATCACAAGTAAACTACCAATGACACCTATAAAACTAAGAACGAAATCAGAGAGGGTGTTAAAGTTTAAATTGAATACAGATAAACTCCGAAAGATGAAACCATATCAAGTTCAGAAAAACATGTTATTTTAGACTAGTTTTCATTTTATAAATTGTATGGTTATATTTTTGAACCAATTCACTTTTATAATATCTTTGTATATTTTTTTAATGTTAGTCTCGGACATTCGTTGATTCAAGTAATCAGTATGTGCTGCCAATAGAATATGAACTGCTACGCCTTGAGGATGAGCAATGTGGTATTGTTGATACGACTGTGTTAGAAATGATTTGTGATTTTCAATGTGCGAAAGAGTGGATGGTAATATTGGAAAGCTTATTATTGCTGACCGAAGAGTATAGAAAAGTAGCATTGTATAATATGAAAATGCCCCTTATTTAATATTTAAAGATATACGACGGTTTGTAAGGCATCATCAAAGACGCACGTTAGGAGTACGCACCGCGTACTCGGAATACACCCTGCATACTCGGAATACGCCTTGCGTACAAGGTCAACCACCCCAATGGTGGTCCACATGTTAGTACAACCAATTCAGCTTCAGAGTATGCGTCATGTACTCACTCTGAGTTGACTCAATTAGGTTGACTTGGCTGGGTTGACTCGGTTGATTTGACCAGTTTGACTTTGACTTTGACCAAGTTTAACCCTAAGGGTATTGTAGGTATTTTGGGATTTTGGTTGAGATTGGTCATTTGGTTAGAATAAGTGTCGATTAGAGCTGAGATTACCTTATCAGCTTTTATCCACGTTGTGAGGTGAGTTTTCCCTCACCGTTTTAATAGGTCAAAGGCACCAAGGTCGGCCCATTGGATTAGATATCCTATTATGTGATAGAATGGTGTCATGATCTGTATCCTGGTAGATCGGATGATGCTATGCTTAGTGATCTGTAGATCTGTCGAACTGGTTGTGGACTAATTATATGTTTATCTGGTATATGTGCACATATATTTGGTTGGCGGTGAGGCTTTACTGCTTTGTGAGTGAACCAACAGGCCAAGCGTATTCCAACCCGATGGTTGATTGGGACCAATGGTATTCCATCCCGAGGATGACTAGACCCACAATATGTTGGCATTTATACCTAATGGTTGGTTGGGCATGGGGTATTCCAACCCTATGGTTGAGTGGACCCATAGTATATTGGCATTCCAACCCGATGGTTGATTGGGCCTGAGGTATTCCATCTCGATGGTTGATAGGATCCGACATGCTGTTATTGTATATGTTATATGTTTATGTGTTGGTACTTTCGGGGAACTCGCTAAACGTTGGCTTAATGTTTTGGGTTATGTTTCAGGTACTTCGGATGACTGCGGGAAGGCGAAGGCGTGACCGTACACATCGTCTTGTTTATGACTTATGATTTTGGGAGACTTTTTTGGAAAATGTTTTGAAAACTATGATTTTTAAACATTTATGAATTTGGGTGATTTTTAAAAGTTTAAATTTATTGTGATTTTTATGGATGTTACACCTATCTCTCGGAGTACTACGATTTTCCTTTCAGTGACTTTAACCGAAACTCAATCGATCTCTTTATGCCATTTTGACGCTAATAGTGTTATTAACATGATTGATTTTTATTTTTTATAAAATAATAACTCCTCCAATCGGAGTCAAATTTTTAAATCGATTATTTCCTTGGGATCTCTTTGTTATGTACTTTCCAAATACATTAACCATTATTAAAAGTGCTATGAATTTTTGGTCACTCATTTTTTACCTTATTATTATTATCTAACCGTTCATATTTTTCCTCAAATATGAAATGTTCTATTATCATCATTTGTCGGTGCTAATCTCTAGTGATGGTTGGTGATGAGAATTTTCTAACTGTCATAGAGGAGATCACCACCATGTTCAGGGAATGGGCTTTATTGGTTTTGTAGTACGTTGTGGATGAAGAGAAAAAAAAAACAAGTTACCTTGATATGGTGCAGGAAGACATCCGAGTGTGACATCGCCAAATTTACAGTTATTTTAATACATTTTATTTATGCGTATTTTAAAACAAAATACTTCTTTTGTTGTAGAATTGGTCCCCAAAATATTATTTCAGTATGAGATAATATTAACATTAAACATTTCCGAAGAAACGTTTGATATTGATATCTTTTCAAAACTTGGGATGTCATTACTAATACAAAAACATAAGCATAAATGGATACTTACAATGTCTCAGTAATCTAACGGTCTATATCTCCCTGAATCTCTCATCATGCATGTAACATTAAACATTTCCGAAGAAACATTCAACCCACAAAAGATGTGTTTAGTTATCAAACAGTTAATCCAATTATCCATCCTTGTTTTACTATTTATTCTTCCCTGAAGATTTATCCTAAGCGTTATCTTAATCATCGTTGCCGAGAATATTGTTATTGGGATTTCTCCGCAATACATGCCAATAAGTTTCTTTCTATTTTTATTCCTAAGGATTTGTCCTAAGGAATAGATATGAAGTCCATCGTTGCTGATTTTTAGGCACGAAGTCCATCGTTGTCGGCGCTTACCTACTGGGCACTAAGTCCATAACTGCCAATATCTATCTAATAGGCACTAAGTCCATAGCTGCCAATGTTTAACTAATATGAACTAAGTCCATAGCTACCAGTGTTTATCTAATAGGCATCTCAACATCTATATCATCTTTCATCTTTCAACATCTATATCATCTTACATCTACCCATCTTTACCTAATATATTTATAGGTAATAAAAATACATATACAGTTTAAAATCAAATAAGACGTCTATATATTGTTCATCTAACATAGATATCAGGAATACAGATAATAGGCACATATAGGATGTAATTATATTAAATAATTTATATTTATGTGTAAGATTAGTGTAACTATGCACTCACTTGACAAAGTGTCTGGTGATTGGTGAATTGAGCATATCTTCGCCTTACACCTTTTTGCTAAAGACCAAGATGTATGTAATGCTAAGTCTTAGTCTAATTTCATACTTCATGGAACTATTACCCTAAGGCTTCAGATTTCTCAACAATCCTAAAGACTACATCAAGATCTAAATAAGGAATAACCAGGTAGGATCATATTGGAGGTAGGGTCCATTTGGTATACAGAGTATACATTTTGGAAATCCTGCTTTAAACACCTCACTAAATCCAGCCTAGACATCATCCGTGTAAGTAGATCAATCAGTATAACGATATGGAATTACTGATAAATCTTATTTATAGGTTCATAACAACAAATTATGACTATAAATATAAGTTACACTGAAAGAGATAGAGTGTAGCTTAACTTACACAACTTTTTGATGAAAACCGAAATCTAAATGGGTAGAATATTGACACGAGATTTCCTACATGAATTCTATTACTCAAATGAGTATTCATGGGTGGCACAGGGCTTCGTTGTATGCTAAAAATAAGGGGAAATGGGGCTAAAATCGAAAGAAATCGAGAGAGGAAATGTGGGTGGTGTGAAGGAGAATGAGGTTGAGCACATCTACTTAGAGTCCATATGTGCGTCGCGCATGAGGTACGCGCCACGCACTCCATCCATATCGATTTTCTTGTTTTTTCAACACATGTCAGGTCCAAATTTATCTGCATCCCTATGTCGATAGCCTACTGCGTGC